TGTAGCGAATCGATGCATTTTTGTAAGAAAAATAACCATATTTAAAACGTAATAATCTATTTAATCTAGCTTGCCCTCACTATTGTACATGGAAGCAGATCCGGGTGGATGACGTAGGACGTCGGCGTTGCGCATCGGCCGCTCAGAAGTGACGAACGCGGAAGTGCAGGGGAGAGATCAAAACGTGAGGCACTTTTTATTATGGATGGATGCGCTTTATTTCACTTCTTTTGGACTGATGAACTGCAACACCCGCTGACTGCCATTAAACAGCTTGAAAGATCAAAGACAATTTTTAATATAACTCCGATTGGATTCATCTGAAAGAAGGAAGTCATATACGCCAAGGATGGCTTGAGGGTGAGTAAATAATGGGCTAATTTTAATTTTTGGGTGAACTATCCCTTTAATATATACAGATTTATTCAGTAATATGTAATATATTTTCAAACGGATTGTGAAAACTTAAATATGAAGAGCTCTAAAAGATTTTTTGAGTTTTTACAGATGTAAAAAAAAAACATCTATTAATGTTAAATCCACAAATAAAATGTTAAGGTTTCAACTGCATCTGTCAGAAAAAAAACAAAGCAGAGCTTTCAATGTACTCTCATTAAAGAAAAAGAACTTTAATAAAGTTTATTACTTCAAACAAATAAGTTTTGGCTCAAAACTAACCAAAATTAAAAAAAAATTGTTTATAATTTCCGCGCAGGAGAGACTTGGTGTTGTTTCAAAACAAAGGGAAATATATATCGGTATCACTAATCGGCCAAAATTATTTAAAAAAATATCGGCATATTGGATATCGGCAACAATCTAATATTGTGCATCCCTAAAGTTAACCGTAAGCAGCCCAACCAAAATACTAATCAAAGGCTACAATTAAGCCATGATGTTTAATCAAAAGCAATTTGAAGACAGATTTTGCACCAAATTTGACTGTGGGTGGAGCTATAGATCACAACATTACAAAAACATGATCGAAGCATTGCTTGCTACAGTGGTGGCTGGTTAGGAACAAATTTCAGATTAACATGAGAGAGATGGTTAGAATATGGTGTAATACACTGCCTTTAATATAAATCAATCTTGATGCATTTAGATACTTGTAACTTATGCATCGTGCTGAATTTGAGTGCAGTGAATAAAACTAAAACTGTTCTTTCAGTGTTTATAGATAAAACAAAAGAGTGTACAATAAACAGTGGATGACAATGGATTACAATTTTGAATGTAAACAAAACTAATGAGGGAATGAGGGTGCTGACCATCATTTCCTGCTCGAAGCGCCTGAAGAGCTGCTCTTTCTGCTGCTGCAGTTTATTGCTGAGCTGCTGTTGAGCTCTTTGCTCCTCTTTTTGCAGCAGCCTCAGTTCTCGTAACTCCTGACGCCTACAGAACAACAAACGTCACACTTTTTCTGACAATCTAAAATATGATTTATGCATTATCAGATACATTATCATTTGCCTATTGCAAAATAACTAGAAACAGTAACCGATGTCAGTTTATATACCTCAAAAATCTCAGTTCCTCACTCATGGTGTCATTGTCGGTGACAATCTTGGATGTGGTGACACTGACTTCCACCCCGTCGACCATAAACTTGCGGGTCTTTTTCAGTGTTTTCTTTTGGCGCTTGGTATCCTGTGGGATTGAATAAAGTTTAATGAAGATATTTTCTTCCAGGACCTTGATTTCAAGCACATCTGGGCAGAGTTATATGTACCTGTATTGAAACAGATCCTTCTTTGCTTTTGGAGAGGAAGCTGGAGATTGACAGATTAATGTCAATGCTGTTAGTATCTGCAGCAGAACTGCTGCCTGAGTCAGAGTCTTTCTCCTTTTCAACATCAGGTTTCGCTACCTCTGCATTCTGGTCATTCTCAGGCACGGTAGGTGCTTCCTGGATCTCTAGTCTATCTTCATGGGCTTCTTGAGTTTCTTCTGTTGCGCTGACCTCCTCTTCTTTTACACCATTGATGACAACAACAGGGAATTCATTCATGGAGTTGCCCTCAACTACATCTACCCCCTTGGTTGCAAGATCGTCTTTGGGTTCTGAACTCTCACCCTTATCTCCAGCTTTTTCTTGGTCCTCTGTTGCCACTGGAGGAAGATCCTCCTTTACCCCTTCTGTAGAAACATCTGGTGAAATTTCAGTTTGCTCCTCCTTTAACTCTTCTGTTGGGACATGTGGTGAGGGTACTGTTCTCTCATCTTCTGCTAGTTCCTTTTTATGCATTTCTTCCTCTGTCTCAATTTTGTCTTCAGTTTTTTCTGTAACCTCAATTGGTTCAGTGATAGCTTCTTCAGTAACACCATCAGATTTGTTCTCTGGTTCAGCTATATCTGAAGGCAGGGAAGGTTCCTCTTCTTCATCTGTGGTGGTTTGTGTTTTGGCTTCTTGCTGTGTTTCTTTACACTCTTCTTTTTTCTTCTCTGGTGGCTCTTCCACCTTCACTTCCTTCTTTTCTTCCTCCCCAGTTTCCTCACTGACGATTACAATCTCTTGGAGGACAGTGTCATTTAATACTGAAGGATTTGGCTGATCAGAAATCTCTACTTCTGTGGTCACAGGTGTGTGAGATTCTTCGTGTTTTGGAATAGCCTCCTCACCAGAACGTGATTCCTCAGTGCTGGTGTCTGATGGACTGGCCTCATTTACCTTCTCATCCTTAGCATGGTTGGGTTCGCTGGCGTCCACCACGTCAGAGGTCTTATCACTAGCTTGATCCTCTGAACTGGGCTTTCTTTCAGGTTCAGCCTTCTCTGTGACCGACTCAAGAGTTGGTGTGTTCTGATACTGCCTCTCATCCTCTGAGCTGCCAACGCTGGTGTCCGATAATGCACGTTTGTGTCCAGGCACCACCTACATTTACAAAATAGACAAAGTGACTGCAGCAACAAAATACTGTGCTGTGCCTGCAGATAATCAAAGAATTCTGCATGGAAACAATGGCACCACATTATCATGACAATTTCAAATTCTCTGAATGGGTTTCTACGTTCTTAAGTGGTTGTGTTCATACCGGCTGGGACTCTGGCTCTTCTTCCTCCTCTTCCTCTTTGCCCTCGTCAAACTCCTCAAACACTTCGGCTTTAGCCTCAGCAATCAGCTCTCGCAGTGGTTTGTTATCCATCACATTTGAAACAAATGGATGCTGAAAGCAGACCATGGCTGATCACTATCTTGTACATTTTAATTTCAACCTTTAAACGGAACTGCATCAAGTAATACAAAATGGCCCAACCTGTAAGAGCTGCAATGAACTCCACCTGTTGTCTACATGTTTATCCAGTGCTTTCCGCAGGAAATCACTGAACTCAGGAGACCTGTTTAAATCAGCGGATGAACAATTATGAACTCTGTGCTACATGTGAAAGGGCTCTTCATTTGGGGTATTACATTCAAAACTATTAAGCAACAGGCTATGCAGTTCCAGGCTGAACATGTGTTGGGACTCTGGGTGGGCGACTGCTTATATGATTCATCAGCTCAATAGCCTCCAGCCTGGAATTTTCATTTTTCAGTTGGGAGGTGATTTATCATATCAGTCAACATTTTTCCAAATATGACCCTTTAACTGAACTCACTGAAAAATTCTGTCCTCAGAAACAATCAATATAGTTTATATTGTTAATCACATTTTGCTTCATTATTGACACATGTGGAAGATCATGGCGCTGTGAGTCATAACTCTCACCATCGTGATGGAGTTGCAAGTGTGGGGGGCTCAGACTTTGCTATTTTTAGCAGGACTCTCATTGGGTTCATCTCGTGGTTAGGCGGCTCGATCTGTGCCAGCTCGATCAGAGTCACCCCCAGGGACCAGATGTCCGCTTTGTAGTCATACGGTCTGTCCTTTGATGTCTCACACATCACCACCTCGGGTGCCATCCTTACATTTAAAAGAGAAAGGGAGGGAGGATATTTTGAAAAACGTCTCAGTTACGTATGTAACCCTCGTTCCCTGAAGGAGGGAACGGAGACGTCACGTTGGTGACCGACGAATTGGGGATCTCGCTTCGAGAGACCAATCTACTTCGAGTGTAACTAAACGAGCCAATGCACATTGGCATGCAATTATTGCATCCAGCTGCCGCTGATCACAGCGTGACCATAAAAAGGCAGCCGGTGCAATGCATACCAGGTTTTCGCTGAGGAGCCGAGCCGGTGACCCGGCCGCTCAGCGGTGGTACAGCAGCCGTGGCTCTCTGGAGTGGTTTTTGCAAGCCGACCCGAAGCCGGGGCCTCTCAGTGCCTCTAACCGTTTGAGGTGAGAACACAGGAGGATACTGGCTCCACACGAAGGCTATAGGATCTAGCGAACATGGGCCCACAGCTCTACAAGTATCTGTAAGCGAGGCGCCACGAGCCAGCGCCCAGGAGGATGCAATACTCCTAATAGAGTGCTCGCAACCTGAGCGGGCAGGGCACACCCTGTGCCTGATAAGCCAGGGTGATGGCATCCACTGTACAGTG